TGAAGGGTGAACGATTCTCCAGCCAACCGCCGATTTGAAGGGGAGGCGAGATTGTTTCGGTTAGTTTGCTCCCGCTGCTTCTCTCAATCTGGATTAGGTAGTTCTGCGTCGAACCCTTGCCAGCCAACCGACGATTTGAAGGGGAGTCCGTAATTTTTTCTGTTTGTTTGCCCCCGTTTCTTCGCGCTGTCAGATTTGTTAGTTTGATATATATGCGTTTTGGGGAAGCCCGCAATTCCTCTATTCGCAATTGGATTTGGTAGTCTGATCTGCATATTACCTATTACTGTTTCCATCATTTACTTCGCTTATCTTTAGTTTTATCTGATTGAGTTTCCATGTGTACCCAGCTAAATTGATAGGCCAACCCTTCCTGTACCTCCTGTGTCCTTATCGCAGATTAGAAGGAGACCACGTCTTCGGCGAATTCGGCGACTACAAGCCCCTCGAAGCCAAGGAAAACAGGGGAAACCAGGGGAGCCAAGTTCCAAAGAAGGCATAAATAATTGAGCTCTGGTTTAGATCCCAGCTGCAACTGGTAGGTTTCTCGCCCTCTTTCATTGATATCCCATTTCAGTCTCCTTTCTGTTCCGGATATTTAGTTCTAAATTTGGGTTGAGCCCACCGTACTTGATAGATTTGGTTCATCGTCTTCTCCAATTCTTTTCTGATCGGAGAGACGACGATGAAACTAAATTATGATCACTGAGAGTGAACCATACAAGAAGAAAACGAGCTTTGTATTCGCATAAGGAGAAAAGGCGAGGGATGGGTTAGCGGCGGCGGTGGGTTTCTGACTCTCTTTCGTTAATATTCGTTTTCTGACTTCTTATTTAGTGTGTTGATTTTTGGGTCTACGTTATGATTTTCCCTTACTATACTACATGGATTTGATTCATCATTTTTGCCCATTCTTTCAGATTGAAGGAACGACGACGGGAACTCGATGATGTCAGGAGAAAGTGGAAAAGGAGCGTTGGGTTTGCACAGGGGAGAATAAGGATGATTAAGTTAGCAGAGTAGAAAGAAGGCAAAGCCAGGTTGTTCAAGTTTGGCGACTTCCTTTCAGTTTGATTGGGTGTTTGTGATAAGTCTTAGTTTGGTCAACATATGAGGACTTTCATGAATACAAAAAAGGCTAAGAGGAAGAAGAAGCAACAGCAGAGAATTAATTTTCCCTGGTCAAATTCTCTGGTCGCAGTTTACAAAGACATAGAAGGCAAAGAGAACGACAGTGGAAGGAGGAATAAGAAGACGCAAAAAATCGAAAAGGTGAAGAACTCTATTACGATTGTGAAGGAATAACGAAATTGACATGGTGGTGACCTTCTCTCTTTGCTTCTGCTTTATTATTATTATTTTTTTTTAATTTCTTGTGATTTATTCGCAGGTTAATGAGCTTATGCCAGTTTTGGGTACTTACCTTCCAAATAGCACATTAGGAAGCTTTCACTTGCCGAGTTCAACTTATTAATCAAGTGATTTCCATCAATGGTGGTTTGGATGTGTTTGGCTCCATTTTATATCTTCCAGACCTCGCGGTTTGTACCTCAAATAGCTTTCGGATTATTGAGTTCTTACGTTGCTATTATGTTTACCTGTACGATATGCATGATCACATAGAAATGGCCTTATTATCCGAGTTCTTATGGAGTGGCTGGGTACATTGATGTGGTCATTTCAGAAACGACAACTAACATGTAAGAGTAGTCACCTTCTTAATCAACAAGGTGTGCTAGGAACTAAAGTAATGTGCTATGCTAATTGTTTGTATTGGTGTTCAGGGAAGAGTGCAACCGGAAGGGAAGATTACATCGTCATCAGTTCTGTCAAAATAAAGCGACCATAAACAAGACATGCCTTCTGTAGAACATAATGATGAGTGCTGCAATTTTCAACAGTTTATATATTTGTTTCCAGTTCTTTTATGTGTGTATGTCTTTTACGCCCGATGATTATGATTCGTTGATCCCTTTTTTCCATTCAAGAGGAAGAGCATATATGCAACTAAAAGGACCAACAAAAATGATATAATCAAACACGATTGGCGATTCTCATGATGATGAGATTTGTGCTCTTTATGAACGAGCTTTCTCTTGGTACTTTTTTCTCCCTTGAATCTCTCATTTTTATAGCTGATGTTGTGTTATATCATTTTTCACGGTCAATCACAAATCGTGTTTGGTTTCTAACATTAGAATGAATCCAGGTTTGTGTTGCCTAGGGATTGTAACTTGTGATTACCTTTCATATTCATCTAAAAGTTTAATTTTTTATTTGCTAATTGGTATTGTTTTCATGTATGGTTGGTATTTTAATTTGATTTTGGATACTCATAGGATAATTGTCAGTTCCAACCAGTACATGGATACTCATCTAAAATCAATTAGGTGATTTTGGATACCCATGTATTCGTTCCTACCCATTCACTGTTCTGATTTTATAATTTTTCATTTTATAGGTTCCATTTGTTGCTATAGGTGTTTCCTACGAACTGAAGTATAGAGAAAAAAGTATATGTTCATGAATTTGAGATGCACGAGGGTGTTTGGTTTAGCCAATGCCCATGGATTTCGTAACCAAAGGTAGTATTCTAATTACTACCTTTGTTGTTTTTCAGCTTCTTATTATGTATATATTGATATAGTAGTTTCAGTGATTATAAAGTGTTGATACTAATTAAGAAATCTGTAATTTCTGCATAGATTCTTTATTTGCTGCTTCTCTGTTTGTTGTCTCTTCAAACCTCCACTTATCATCTTACATATCATGGCAGGTTCTACAGCATAGGAATTGTGTCTCTTCATTTTACCAGTTTGTCCTTTAGATAGATGTGCTTCAGTAAGATGTTTTGTGTTCTGCACTTTTATTCAGAATTTTGTAGTAGGGTAGAATCAAGCGAAGACAAATACTTGTAGTAGGATTTATATAGAACGTCTATGTAAAAAATACATGTATTGAACTTGAGATCTTAATTAATACAGTTGGGTCATATATTTAACTAGCTTATACCCGTCCGTTGGTCGGAATATTTTGAGATATCTATTTCGATGATATATCTTAATTAGGGGTGTCCATTCGGGTTCGGTTTTTTGGGTTTATCCGAAACCGACCCGATTATATATTTTTTTGGTTGTTCGGGTTCGTTTCGGGTTTTTCGGCTTCGGGTTCGGTTTTGCTTATGATTTTTCGGGTTCCGGCTAAAAACCTCCAATGAATAGAACTCAACCCGTATTCTTAGGCGTTCGGGTTTTGGTTTTGCTTTAACCGAACCCGAACCCGATAAGGAATTTTCGGGTTTCGGGTTTCGGGTAACCGGAACCCGCAAGTCCTTATCGGTTTCGGGTTCGGTTTTAGTGATTTTCCGTTTCGAGTTTTTGGTTTTTTCGGGTTTCGGTTCGGGTAACCGAATCTGACCCGAACTGACACCCCTAATCTTGATAAATAGTTAAATACATTTTGTTTGGAACTAATAGTTGACTTTTTATAATCGAGATTGATATTATTAAAACATGATAAATAAAACTCAATTCTTAGTATTAAAGCAATCATATGAATTAATATATTGAGAGTTTAATTTGTATACCTTGAACCTTATTGATGAATGGTGTTCTCACTTATCATAATCAATTCCTTGATGAAAAGTTTTATACTTGATTGTGATTTTTTTTTTCTCAATTAATAGGTTTGTACATGATTCCCTTTGGAGTTTGGACATATAACATGAAGAGTGAATACTTTGAAGTCAGGACATATAGACTGGAAATAAGAACAATGTAAACACCATATAGCAAGGAAGACAGAAGCTTTGGGGAGCTGTCAATTACTATTTTTGAAGAATAGCTTAGATAGTAGGAAAAAGGTTTGCTCTGCTAAATCCACAAATCCCCTCAAAGGATACCAAGGTGAGAAAAACAATTCCAATGAATGAAAGCATGGAAGAAAACTAACTGAACTCGAATGAATTTATTTGGCTAAATATGGTTGCATGCACAATTACGCTAATCATTATTAACCACCATCACATGTAGGTGGAGTGTAATTAGTCTCCAAACTATGCAGCATTTTGTGTACTCTCACAATCCACGTCAAATTTTTTACCCCATTAATTATATAAACCCTTTACCCAACACATAAATTCCACTTTGAAACTCATATATCCCTTGAACGATTTGACACCTCATTCACAAATTATCCAAATTAACTACAATTACACACATGCATGTCTCCATCCCCCTTTTAGTTCCCTCGCTGCTTGCATATATAGCACCAACAACACTACATCTACATGGACCATACTTTGAGCTTTTTAGCGAGCATTCCACTGACTACACTTTCACCCACCTAAGTTGCTTACCCTTACAGTTCTCATAGCGGCAGCAGAAACATTAGGTATCACGCAAGCACGCGGCGCACAATTCAATAGACAACACATGAATCTGAGTAACATAAGATTAAGAGTTTGCCAGTTTGGTGAACCATGTTTATCAGCATAAACATACATTCAACCATTCTAAGTATTACGTATCATCACAAACGAACAAAAAAGGCATTGTAAATTGTTCCATAACAACTCAATAGAGGAATGTATTTAGTCAAAATTTCCCATTAACAAATGCAAACTGACAAAGAGGAACCTAGATTAAGGAGTCTAACAGTCGAGGGATTTCAATTATAAAACTATAGGTTAGATAGAATCATCAACCTCAAGGGAAAAGTCATTGTTGTATTAAGCCCCAAATCTTCTGAAACATACAAAAATGAGAGAAACAAATCACAAACTATGAAGCCCTGAAAATCTATCTGACATCCAATTACTTTATGGGGTTAAATTTGGTTTGTTTCATAAATATGTTATATTATTCATGGAATTGATTGATTCATGTTGGTTGGTGTAATTAAGGAAACATAATCATCTCACAACAACCATCCCTTTTACTGGTTCTTCCTTCGGCTCTCCACTCTTTCACCTGTAAAGTAAAATTAGTGTTCACCTAGAATCATGGAGTTTTTTTTGGTTTTTCATAAATACCCCATTTGAATTTTTTTTGGCATGCTGCGTTCTCGCAAAAAAAAAAAACTGAAATAGCTATATAAAGCTTGAAGTAGCAGCACAAAACCAAAATGAAAAATATAGTGACGGAACAACCTCCACTCCCTCGAGCCGAGCTGGCGAAGATGGTGATGAGGGCGTGCTCCTTCATGTTGAACGGCCCCGGATTCATCGACAATTTGTAATCCGAAAGGGGGAAATTTTGAATTTCCTGGTAGGCAGAGTTGCCGCCATTAGCTTCCCGAGTGGGAGCACCACGATTTGGACGGAGACCGAGCCGACGAAGAGCTGGTTCTGACGGTAGCCGAAGAATTGGTTGACGAAGGAAAGAATTGCGCAGGCGAGGATTCCGAGGACCCATGTCCGGAAAGTTAGGACCGGCTGGGTCGGGTCGTCGGTGATCGGAACTGTAAGTCGGACCTGCTCGATCGTGTTGTCGTTCACTTCTTCCTTCTCATCGCCTGTCGAAACAAACATCGACCCATTGTCAAGTTAACCGTTAATCACAAACCCTTTGAATCTTTCACTAAAATGCAGAGCATTGTTGGTCTCTGTAACTGCTTACCGAGAACAACGCACTGAGGGTGATTCTGTCGAGGGGTTCCCTCAACCGAGAAACTGGAAGTCATCCCCGTGGCCTCAGATTTCTCACTGATTGCGGAGTAACACAGAGAGACTATCAAATGGTGAATTGGACTTGTAAAGAGATGGAAAAGGTGGGATTTTTTTTTTAATAGCAGCAAGTTTGGTAGGATATGGTGGTTGGAGGAGAGGCGGTGGCAGAACAACCTTCGTTGGCAGTGACGGAAGATGATTTCAGCCGCAAAAAAAGTAGTGGAAACCGACGGTTTCTTATCTCTCCTGTCAGGCGGGGATTTCTAATTTAATTCCGTGTAACCACCCTGCCACGTCAGACTCCTAAAATCACTCTATGCGCAGGAAAATTTGAATGGGGGTTGCAGTTTTACTTTTCAGCTATAAATTATACGGTTGATCCGTTTGTTTTATCTTCTTCGACGCTGTACTTTTTAAGCTGTGATGTAAAACTTGCATGAAATTGACTTGCAATGAATTTCTGGATTTAGCAAGTGGCAATCTATTAACTTTGTACTCTTGGATGTGCCCTTTTGAATTTGTTAGTGTCCGGGACCTTCTTTTTCCTATGACGATATAATCAGATAGCAAACTTTTCAATTCCTTACTTTGTTGTGGTCATGCTTTGATCCTTGATTGACCCAGGCTCATGAAAATCATCCTAAATCATATTAGCTATCTTGATGATATCGGATTGTTGCTGCATCTATTGTTTTTTAAAGTAAAGATTGGATTTTGCCTATATATGTTAAACTATAATCTATAGATGTTATTATGGGAAGGAGATGATGTTTCTCTGTATGTGACCAATTTGGCTGCAGAAAAATTGCTTGAAGCAATAAGACAGGAAGACTGGTTACTCATACAGACAAAGAACATAAAAAGAGTAATTGCATACCGAGTGAAAGGGATTTGGATATCTCTGCACAAAGAAAAGTCGGTATCACTTATTGGTTATTCATTTGATATTAAGTTCACTGTTTTTTTTTTAGTTAGAATCTTATCAGCATCGAATAGTTAATTCTTAGATATTTTGTTTTTATGGTTGTGTGCTCTAATCCATTCCATTAGGATGAGACTATTTTGATTCGAGTTAGCCTGAAGGAATCAGTAGCGAGCTTCCAATTGGGGTTAATGATTTTGAGATACTGAGCATTATTGATTGAGTCAATGTTCATAGATGCCTTAACCCAAGGTTATTGTGTGATTCTAGCCTATGTTCTTTTCAGATGCTGCTGCTTCTTCTGTAAGTTCTTACACAACACATTTAGTATTTCTAAAATGTTGATCCCAAAAAATTTAAGAAAAAGAACACTGAAATGCTTGATAATTTGTCTTTGATGGCAGACTATAGTTTCCAAATCATCTTCTTCTATCAACTGATTGTATAATCCCACCTTTTCCCTCTATTACAAGAATCAACAAGGGAACCAGAGCTACAGTATTTCCATTACATCACCCTTTGAGGCTGGGCAAGTGTTTCAACTCCTGGATTGGGGTAATTAATTAGTTCAAGGTTGCTACTGGTTGTTTATTTAGTTCGTTCTTAAATTCATTATCAAGTTCCTTTTGGGGGGCATTCACTTGCAAATTTCATTTAGCCTTTGAGTCAAATGATATTTAAACTCTTTTAACCCAAAATTATGTTCTGATATGTCTAAAGTTACATGTTGTTTGGAGGCAAAAATTCCTACAGATCTTTATTGTCATGGGTCTGAAGTTTTAGTATAGGTGCGGAAGTTGTAGGAACATAGATCTATGTTGTGATGGTCCTCAAAGGGAGGGGAAGGAGTTGTTGCATCTGATGTCTAAAAAATAGTACAGCCACTGCTTTCGCTATCACTTTTTGTTTAAGGTTGAATACCATCAAATTGCGGACGCTACGAAGTAAATTTCATTTATCTAAGGTAGACATCTAATATGTGGGTAGCGAATGTCTTCTGGGATTAAGAAATATGACCGTCATTTGTTGCTTCTTTAGTCACGTAAGTTAAGGGGTTTCATCGAGGGGTTTATTAAGACACATGCATAGTTTTGATAGCAAGTACTTATTGTGTGATATTATCTAAACGGAGTTCCCAATAAGTAAAGGGTGCTAAGGCTATAAATGTAGTGCATTAGCTAAAGTGCTCTTTGAATTGAATCAGTATTTGAGAATTAAAAAGTACCCAAATAATGAAAATATGAAATCATATAGATAATGACATAAATGAAGGGAAGGAAATAATAACTATAAAATGAACCAATTAGAGGATAATCGCTTTGCATATATGTATGTGTTAAAATATTTTGAAATTCGTCTTCGGTGGGTGGGGTTCTTGGTTAAGTTATCGTTTTGAGATCATGAATTGTTGTGTGTGCTCTTGATTAGTTCCCCGTCATATTTTGCTAATGCTAGCATATACTAATTACTTGAAGCCCCCTTTCTTTTCTTCATGTAGTTGTTGTTGATGGTGAAAGCCGTTGTTTTAGAAGATGACTCGGGCTAGGATTTCATTACAAGATGGATGGGGACAAGACAATTTGTTTTCAATGCAACATCAGATAATAGTACGAAAATAGCTTACCATGCATCCTCATTCTCACACGGCATTGTTTATGTTGGTGATAACATATTCTTAAAACAACAGCTACTTCGATGACTATGTTCTGTGCTAATATGGATGATTGCTAAGTGGGTTATTAATGTTTACTTCCTGATCCGTTGGACATTTAATAACTCACTTTTGTGCATATACCTTATAACTATGCCACATGCTAGCTCATTTTGTTGTGGGTTGTTAATTGCAAGGACCAACATAGGCGAAAAGATAATTGTGACCAGATCACATACATATTTCTCATATTGGGAATCGCGTTTTAATCAATAAACCATGAGATTGCCAGAGAATCTTGAAGATGGCATGTTTTTAATCAACTACTAATAATGTATTGTATGTTGGCTAATATGGCACCATGATAATTCTTCCCAGGTTTGTTGTTTGGATGGTTTTACTATTTTCTTTACTTTTATGACTTTCCCATCGGTCTCTTTGAATGCTCGATTTACAAATCTAATTTATGGATGTCACTTCTTCCAAATTAATGGGGACCAACAAATTTCAAATTCGATAGCAAAACTTTTCATCCTTGACCTTTGATTTGAATAGAGTTTTAGCACCTACTTCCAAATTTAGGAGTTAGACAAATCTCGCATGTGTTTAATTTAGATACCAAATACGTAACTGAAATATATGATCCAAACGATGTTCACATTTGTTATTGAATATCAAATTGGTTTTCTTTCTTTATGAAGTCATGAATCTTTTTTCATAAAATCTCATTTTCACGACAGACGATTGTATATTTGAATCAACAAGTGTTTTATTTAATAAAAATTTCAAATAAATACTTCAAATATTTGAGATTTTGGTCAATATAATAGCTTGGACTATCCTTTTACGTCATTGTCAACTCTTAAAGCTACAAATATTTTTCGTGAATCATATAAAATTAAAGATCCCAAATCAAGTAAATCATAAATATTGATAAAATAAATTATACGAAATAGAATGAAATTGATCCGACCAATGGATCGGGTAAAAGCTAGTTTATTTTTATTGCGAATTCCTTTTCTCTTTTACAGAATCATTTTTTGTTTTTTATCCCTTTAAATTTCTTTTGAGTGATTAATTATTTTGTTTTTATCAAAAAAATTAAAAAAGGACGCAAATCCCCAAACAACCTCGTCTTCTTCCTCTCCTCTCCGTTGGGACTATCACCGGGGAAAAAAATGCAGGCGAGCCTCCCTCAACGGTCCCTAACCAGTTCTTTTTCGACTTTCAACTTAATCATGCAAATCAGTATTACTCCCTCAGCAGGCGAGCCTCCCTCAACGGTCCCTAACCAGTTCTTTTTCGACTTTCAACTTAATCATGCAAATCAGTATTACTCCCTCAGCACAGCCTGCAATTTTCCTTTGGGTTTAAATCTGGGATTTCTCAATTGACGGCCGACGGCTACAAAGGGAGATCAGAGGAAGGGGATAAGATGTAAACCCAAATCTCACCTGCTAGCGATAGATGCAAGCGCGATGCATCGTATGGAAGGGGAAGGGAGAAGATAAATCCAACTTCGTTCGATCCCTTCCAAACAGGAGAAAGAAACAGACACAATTGATTCACTATTTAAGTGTGATTCAGGCTTTCCCATGAAGTCGATTGAGGGCAAAATCAGAGAAAGAAGCAGAAAAACGAGTAGCGAGAGGTATGATTCTAAGAGGAAGACGTTAATGGAACTAAAAGGAGGTTAATCAAACAAGTTGTATAGGAGATGGATCGGCGGCAGAGAAATTTGCCGGACGTTTTGCTGCTGTAATAGTCCGATGTAGGTGGAGTGCGAAGAAGACAACCAGATTGTAACCGGGATTGAGTCGCTTTTTTATGAAAAAAACAAAATCACTAATTTAATTAAAAGAATTGGAAAGGAACTAAGAAAAAGTATTTATGGCAAAAGAAGAAGCCACGAGAACGAGAGATATAAAAGGAAAATCGGGTTCGGTTGATGGCCACGGTTTTGGGTTGGGAATCAACCACTACTGCCACGTCACGTTATCCATGCCACGTGGACCAATTAAATGCAGCGTTATCGGTGTCCGCACTTTTGATAGCGGCACCATAGTATTGGCCAATTACACTAGCTTAGACCATGTCATAATGGGCTCGGCCCATACTGAGGATCTCACTGTTAGATTGGGCTTGACTTATTAGGTTTACAAAAACATTCTTA